CCCACTGCCTGGTTAGGCACTGCCAATGCTGTACTTATTCTGGTTTGGAGAACATATATGCAGTAAACAAATATTGAGTCACACCATTTATGTCCTACTGGATTATAATGCAGGGGCTTGGCATCTCTTCAATCAATGCATATTGATCCTCCAGGATAAAGGTACAAGAGGCTCAGCTCTTACTAAGTCACTGCATATACATTCTGTTTGACAGAATTCATGGACCCGGCAGTTCCATCATGACCTAGCTTACGGCTGCACTATATCCTGAGGAACAGCGAGCCAGCTCATCTGAACAAATATGCATTGGTTGAGCTCTTCATAGGGCATTACATATATGTATCTCCCCTTAGACAAGTGGGCAACTGAGCTTTCGAACAACCGCTGTTCATTCCACCGGCACAAATTGTCACTTGGTGGACCAGTGCATTTCGACTTACAGAATACATATATAGCAAGCCTGCTCTACCATTATTGCACATCCTTTCTATAAGCCAATGAAGGACAAAGTAGCGTATATATGCGCCTGGACAAAATTTCAGTGACCTAGGTTTTTGGTTACTGCATATACATTCAGGACTCTTACTAACTCTCTAACTATTGCATTTTAGGCTATAGAGTGCATGCCAGCCAGAAAGCCAGTTCTCAGTCATTGCATGCAATACCTATGGGACAAGGCTTGCAGTGACCTAATCCCTATGCAGTCACTGCATATATGTTTTGTAAATGAGAATACACACCGAACAGAAGTTTATTCACCATCTAATTCAATTTCATTGCTTCCAGCCTACTGAGCCTGGACATATATCCAGTGGCTCAGCTTTTGATAGCTGCATAATGTAATACAGCATAAAGATGCAGTGGCTAAGCGGGTCAGTCGCAGCATATATTTTGTGCAGAATAAAGATGCAGCACCTGAGCCAGTCAGTCACTGCATATATGTCCTACTAAGGCAGAGGCTGAGCCAGTCATTCACTGCATATATGTCCTGCTGAAGAATAGAATTCAGCAGCTGAGCTAGACAGTCACTGAATATATGAACTACAGAATAAAGATGCAATAGCTGAGCTGGTCAGTCACTGAATATATGAGCTACAGAATAAAGATGCAATGAATTAAGCTTGAATGTTGTGGGCACAAAACACATACATGATTTGCTGTCCAGAAATTCAGCCATTCATTAGACTCCGCCGTCGCGGAAATATGAGGCAAGTAAGCCTGGAGATAGGGAGATCGGACAGCAAGTGGAATAGCAGGGGGTTGGATAAGGTGAGCAAGAAAAATTGAAAGGCAAGAGCAAGGAAAGAAAGAAACATAGCTGCCGGCGAGTCCAGCCAATGCCTGGGGACCTCCAGAAGTCCAGAAAACAAATAGAAGCTGTTGCTCACAACGACACTCCCAAGAAATCATATATATAACTTGGAGTTCTGGATCATGAATTACAAATGAGGAGACACAATTGAGCACATACCTCTCAGCCATGAGAGCAACAATCCTTGGTGACAATCACTGATCAGATGTTGGATAGATTTAAAGTTTGCATTGAATAAGTAAATTTAACTTGATTAATTTTAGCTGTACTATCTAAGGAACAATTTCCCTTGTCATCTAATACTATTTGCCTACAGTTTTGATTTTTTTTGTCATGTTTGGATTTGACATTTTGATAGGGTTCTATATAATCCAAGAGTTTGTCACAAAGCCTCTGCTACAAACTGGTGATTTCGATCATGGGGACCACATCTATCTATCTATCAATAGCTATCAATTCACAGGGGGCATCATCGGATGAGGTTCCATATGATTTGGTGAGCTTTGGCCTCAAAATGTATAGGGCAAGCAAAAATCAAACATGCATTGAAAAATTCAGGACTGCAGAATATTGTGCAACCAGGTGTACCAATAGTGTAACATCTTACCATGCCATACCTAATATGTGTCAAAACTGGTCGTGTGACCAGGGTTAGTCGACTTTACAGAAGCAAGTAACTGCTGATCTAAGCCTACTCTAAAAAAGAACTTATACAGCGGGGAGGCTTGGACGGATTCCTGCATGTGTTGAAACTCTAGTTGGGACCAACAGTAAGGGACAACAATAGAGGATGTTCTCATGATTGACTCATCCATTAAGAGTGCTGCAAATGTATGAGGAAAGGTGTAAGAGTATATGCACTGCATGCAAATTTTCGTAAGTTTTACTAGTTACAGTGAACTTATCAAAAACACACAAATAAATTTCCATAGAAGGCAATTTTTTACACTTTTTAATGTACATTATCCATAAATTCACTATTTTAGGTAGGGATCTGCATGCAGTGCAACAGTATATATAGTATAGCATCCAAATATCATGACCCTTTCTACATGTCACATGAACTCTGACACAAAGGAGAGAATGTATATCTAATGAATAAATTGGAGGGATTGAAAGCCAGTTGAGGTCTTGCCACTTGAAGTACGACTGAGTATCATCACAATGTATAATGAGCTTCCCAAAACATTAGGCAAACATAGCAATTAGACCCTTGTCATCCTTCCTTGAGAAACAGTCGGTGGGTATAACAAAAATATCGTGACGGTTTGAGAGTGCGAACAACATCATAAAATGTCAAGAATAAATTGACCAGCTTGATCGGCTTTTTGGCTTGCCCACAAGTTACTTCGCCGCCTAGCCCGCCTGCCACATTCGACTCCTTCCCAACAACGATGACTATGTTCCAGCCTGAGAGTCATCGCTAGACCTTCGGAGGCTGCATTTAGAGCATGGATTACTTGGATAGAGGCAAAACCATATGGTGATTTACTGCTTGACACTCCCCGAATGCTCTATTTTCATTTACTACTCTTTCGAGGAACCTGGCTAGAACACACAACCGAAAGTGTACTGAACTTTCATGTGTTAGACATTATGATCCCTGTTGAACATTCACAGCCTATGCAGCGAGTTGAAAGATTGGAAAGAGATGAAAAATGGAGATGGAAAGGATTGGCTTGCGAAACTTCTCCGACTTGCCCGACTTGCCCGAAATAGCACGCCGCGGATAAAGAATCTGGCTTGCGGCAAAAACCGTCAAAGCTTGCAGCTTGCAGCTTGAGCCGCTTTTTTTTTTCGAGCCAGCAATTTTTGGCAGGGACAAGCAGGGACAAGTTCGGCAAGCAAAACTGAATTAATTACGATGAAGCGGATTAGGCAGTATTATGCAGCCTCGAGAATGAAATTGTGTGAGGGAGAGAGAATAAGTAGATGACACGACGATATCAAGATGTATATCTTCATTGATCCTAGTCCAACCCTATCGTCATCCCGTCCTGTCTGTCTACATTCATATCATCTCCACTTTCCATAGTGGACCTCTCTATGCAACCAACCCGGTCAACAGTGTAGCGCATATGATTAGGTTGAGTGTCGAGTGGCCTGACGGACTGCTGGCTTCTGACGGCGGGCGCGTTGCCTCTGCACGCGGTTGGCGTGGGATGCATGTTCTGGTCTTGACTGTGGTAGCCTGCGCAAGTAACCTACGAGAGAAAGTGGAGGAGAGGCAAAAATAAACTGACTGGCGCTGGCGGTACCATCTGCCTGGGACTGGTCACCTTGAAGGTGTACAGCATTACAAGCATGAACGTGTATTGCGCAAAGTCCGCGGGTTGCATGCCATGTCAAATCGTTTGAATGTGAGGTGATTGCAGCGACACTGGTTCCGTTACTCCTTCTGCAGGGGAAGATATCAGTGAACCAGTCACCAGGCCAGGAGGCAGTGGTCAAAATCATGAAGGGTCCAAACATCGATCCCACTGCTACAGTCCGGTTATCACATCTGTCTAGACCTGTGAAATCTTTCGACTTGTTGCACTCGAAGTCCCCAGTTCGAGCGAGTCTGGGTCAAATCATCCTTTCGTTCGAAGCAATGCCTCTCTTTTTGTTAAGGACCACTATGAACAGCTAGTTGAGTCTCACCGACAACGACCACAAGATTGGATTCGAAATGAGCCACTCAAGTTATTCCGCATTTTAACAACGACCAGTAGAAGTACCGAAATGCATTTGAATCCCTTCTGCCCCGTCTCTTACCTCAAACGAGGGTTCCATCCAATGACGCATCCCCCTTGAGCCCTCCCTGGCCCACTTGGTTGTGCAAGCTTGTTGAATGCGCCTCTCGTCCCTACAATCTGCACGCATTACCGTCCCTCGGTAACAGTGACAGCTATGGATTTTCCTTATTATGATACTATGGTATCGTCAGTTAAATCAGTGAAGGCAAAAGGAGGAGGGTCTATTCATTGCGCGCATTGACCATTTTGTTACGCATACAGTCAGAAACATCACTGTTGGTCCTCGATGTTGCTTTCTTAGTAGAAGGAATGAAGAAAGAATGAAGGCACTAGGGGAAGGTGCCGAGTCATTGCGTGTGCTCTTATTTGGGGCTTGGTCGAAGGGAGAACTAGTGCGGTTTATGTTTATCACTTGGTAGTACACTGAGTCATTTTGTGGCGCCGTGAGGAGGCAGAGTACAGCGTCGACTTTGAGTCGGGTATGTACTTGACTCCAGAGTCCAGAGCTTGCAAGGATGTTTATTAGGGTGCCTACTCGCTCGACTCGCTCGACTCCCCTGCGTCGGGTCTTTTCATCCGCACACGAGGTGAACGAGGCGAGAAATATTGTCAATCGAGGAGAGGAGCAAATCTTTCAGATTCAAGCTCGGTTTAGATTATGCTAACCCAGGCTAACGCGATCGTACCTAATTGCAATAGTAATGACACGACAGTGCTACCATGCACGGAGACAGTTGTCCACAATTGTATATGGTGCATACCCCTCTCATCGGATTCAGAGCTCGAGTTGGAGTTCAGACCTTTATACCAGATTAGAATGTGAGTGGAGGGTGCATGGTAGGATTGGCGAGGAAGGTGGACTAAGGTTGTCGTACGTAGCAGGCGGAAAACAGCGTTTCTCCGAAGGCAGTATTTGGCGTGGTAGGGTAAAAAGCACACGTTCTGCTAATGGTTCGATGGCGTAGTTGGTTATCGCATCTGTCTAACATGTAAGTCTGCAGTGTTCCACAGAAGGTCCCCAGTTCGAGCCTGGGTCGAATCACTTACCTGGGCCCAACCAACTTTTTTACTACTCAAGTACGCATTAAGTAAATGTTGGCCTTTTTTTCCTTCATTACATAGCACCAAGGCCCCTCGAAGATGAAATATGACAGCAGGAAAGAGGACGTCCGCCTGCCTACTGGGGGTGAAACCGGGGAGGTTTCGTATGTGGTTTGGCGGCACTTGAGGGGAGTAATGAGTGTACATTGGATCATCCATACCTTACTGTAGAGTCGTGTATCTATCTATCCGACTCTATCTATCTGTGTAGAGGTAGAGTGTATTGTCAAGGTTGGGTAAGTAGACGCTTTGCTCTAGAGGATTTAAAAAAGGTACGCGCCGCACTCGATTCTCTTGCGTAGAAGGGTGCAAGCCCGCACATGCCGCACCATTTGTACTATACCATCTCTTATCGTGCTTAAGCCAGCACTCTCCGAGCGAGGTGGACTGAGCTTGCTGTAACTCGTTTCGTTTCTTTGGTCCGCCGCATGTCGGTTCATTCTGTATTATCGCATAGGAGAGGGGTTGAGTCACAAGCGACCGACTCGGACGAGAGGCTGACAGGAATAGGGAGGATACGTGCTACGTAGCCTTAGTCTATTGGCAGCGTAAGAGTGGTACGTACTAGGCCATGAAAGGTTGGTTGCTGGATGGCGACAGATGGATAATTTAGGTATGTACGTACTCATAGCATACATATAGGGCGCTTCAGATCCCGAATTCGAATGTGTTGGGCCGCTCAAAGAAGGGATATTAATAACTGCTAGAATGGAGAAGAAACACCGAGTGGGTGGTGGTTCTGCGACGAGGTATTTGAAAGAGCTGGGGAGTATCTACATGCAGATGAAAAATTAGTCAAAGGGTTGTTCGTTAAGCTCTACTCATAGATAGTGTGTTCATGCAGGGAGGTCGAGGAGAAGTGTGACAGGGTGACAATACGAATGTGTGGAGATGTTGTGTGACTTTTTTGTCACACCCGCATCATTCCCCTTGCTGTTACCATTGCCGACGACAACGCTGAGGCCTTAAAGCGCTGAGCTCAGACTCAAAGCCAGTCCTTCTCTTTTATTCTTTTTCATTTGCTCTCTCTTTCGCCCATAAGGAATGGGTGGCGTCTCATTCGGGTCCTTCAACTCCATCTGCGAAACAGCGGCGCTCGTCATATGTCCTCTCGTTGGAACATCCCAGGGCATCGAGCCCACTTGCTATAGCAGAAACGTAGACCTTGGAGGGACTCTGATATTTCAACCTTGTTCGTTTCCTTGCTTTTTATTTCAAAGTTTCACTGGCTAATGACCTGGGTGTAGCAACATGTTTTGTTCACATTGCAGCTATAGTCATGACCATTATAATGATCCTTCATATACGAAGCAAATACACCGCTGTGGGCAGGAAAGAGATTATCATGCTATTTTACATGTACCTTGTCATATCCCTACTCGCCATGTTCTTGGACTCTGGAATCATACCCACTGCTAATGCCGCCTACTCAGTCCGTTTTTTTTTCTTTCTTTTTTTTGTGCAGAATTTTGTCTTCTAATCATCCTTTGCAACAGTGGTTTGCCGCCGTTTACACCGGCCTGGTCGCCTCTGCATACTGCTGTCTGCTGATAAATGCTTTCGTCGGCTTCCAATTCGCCGAAGACGGCACCCCAGTATCCCTCTGGTTCCTCCGCATATCCTGCTTAATCGTTTGGGCCGTCGGATTCTTCATCGCCATCGCCACCTTTAAAGGATTCGCCTCATTTTCCTTCTCAAAGCCCATCGCCCTCTGGATTGTCTACCTCCTTTGGCCCGTCATCTGCGTCGCCGTGTACATTGTCTCTCAACTCATCCTCGTCTTCCGAACGCTCGAAGACCGCTGGCCGATTGGCGACATTGTTTTCGGTGCTGCGTGAGTCTACTCACTCATGCTGTCATGGCCGACGAAAGTCCAATTAAAAACTCCTAATTACAGATTCTGGGTTATCGGCATGGTTCTCCTGTTCGCCTTTAGCGACACGATATGTAACGCCATTGAACACTACCTCGACGGTCTCTTCTTCGAAGAGCTATGCGTGCTGTTGGCCATCATGATGGTTTACAAGTACTGGGATAGTATCACTGTGCGTAGTCGTTTGATTCTATATTCGTTCGCTGACATAGCCTTTTCCTCCCCTTCCTCCCGGCTATTCCTTCTCACCTGCAGCGCGAAGACCTCGAATTCTCCGTCGGCTCCAAAGCGGCCGTATGGGAAGTCAAAGATCCTCTCCTATCCGGGTCAGGCTACGCAGGCGGTTCTCGTGGAGACTATTCCGAAGAAGACGTCGGGAGCAATTACGGCAGCTCTTACGCTCCTCCGCCTGCTTTCGGAAACGGCGGATATGGGGGTAAGACGGCGTCGCTGGTTGGTGGGGTTAGTGGAACGCAGTATTATAATCAAAAGGCATATGGGGCTGGTGGACGAGGAGGCGGAGGTGGTGGTGGTGGAGGATACCCACCCGCCGGCGGTTATTAATGTGGAAATTAGTGGAAAGTTGGTTGATGTCTCTGGGTTTATTTTGGTTTGGTATGAAACGGATGAACGAACTTACCTTGGTTTTGGGCGCACAGTTCTGCTTCCTCTTCCTCTCCTCTCTCCCCTGTTCTCTCTCCCTCCCCCGTCCCCTTCCTCTTCTGCCTCCCTCCTCTTCTGCCTCCCTCCTCTTCTGCCTCCCTCCTCTTCTCCTTCTCCTTCCTCTTCCACCATATGCCCACTTTTCCTCCCTTCTTCCTTGCACAGCGCCATTGGACGGACGTTCTTTTTTACCTCCCCCCTTTTTTCCTCAGATATGAGACATATTCTTATACATACATACATACGTGGCATACGTGGTTAGTTCCTTGGTTGGTTGCTTGGAGGGCGGGGGTTGGGAGTCTACTTGACTCATCGTCTCGCTTTTTTTTTTTGTTTGTTTGTTTGTTTGATTGTCCGCATTCTCCGTAGCTTGAGCCCACTTTTCTAATACAACGCTTTTTTTTTTGCGTGCAGTCGATGTTCGACGTTTTGGTCGAGTTGATAGGATCTTGCAGGTTAACAGGTTATGAATCGCGGGTGCCCGCTGAGTATGGCGGTTCTACGATTGTCGTTTTTTATTGAGGTTTCGTTTGTCATGCTGGTTGCGGGGCTGGCTGGGTCAGAGATGATCGGTTTTGAGGTTTGTGGGTGTCTTGTCTTGGTTGGATGAGAGAAGGAGGATATTCGAGAGGAGCAGGATATCTGGGGGAGCAGGAGCGGGAACGAGGAGAAAAGGGGGGGAGGGATTGAGATAATCTATGAATGACTGATACTATACTTGCTAATCCTTTTGCAGACTTGCTTATGCTCACGGGGAAACACCGCGTGTGCTGAAAACTTCCTTTTAGTGGTGGTTTGGTCCGACTCTGGGGTGTACAGATACGGTCAGGGCGCAGGGGTCTTGAGGAGAAGGGGGGTGCGAGGAGAAGGGGGATGTTCGACGCGGAGGGGGGGCGAACAAGATCCGACACTCTACTTGTTGACCGTTTTGCAGCCTTACTCATGCTCGCGGGGAGACATTGCTTGTACTTGGTTGGAATTTTCTTTTGGTGGTCCCCTGGTCCAGCTCTGGGGTGTTCAGATAAAAGTAGGGTGAGTATCTGATCTGACCTGGAACTGATATCAATTCGTGGACTTGTTGCCCTAAAACTGGGTGATGGTGTGGTGTGGTGTGGTGTAGTGTAGTGTGGTGGTATGGCGTGTGGTGTGGTATGGAACGGATGATACGCTCGTAGCTTCCTCAAGCATGGATGGACGGATGGATGGACGGATGGATGGAAATGTAAATTGAAGTTTGAGTTCAAATGATGCGCTGGAGTATGGTACACCAGTGGAGGTTCTGTGATGGTTGCTTGCACCGTCGGAAAATCCGATTGAGGCTTCATTCTCGTGGTTGCGGGATGGGTTGGGCGAGAGAGAGACGCCATCGGTCTAGGGGTTTGCGGATGTCATGTCTTGGTCGGATGGGAGGCCCAAGGGGATATTTAGGGGAACGGGGAACGGGGAACGGAGAAGATATACGAGTGTCGGACTGATACTGAGTGTACTTGCTGGTCCTTTTACCAGCTTTGGCTCGCGGGGGAATGGTACAAGTCGTTAGGACGAGCGTTTATTCAACTTTATTACTGTGCGAGAATAAGATCCAATTTATGAACCATGCCTCCACTCACTAGGAATGGTTCGGTAGGATTCAGGAATGTCGAAATTAGGTCTGGGCTGGGGTCGGTAGGGGTGTCCGACGGGAACTGGCCCGAAGAGGATCCCTCATCGGTAAAAGAGTTAGCATGTGTCCCATTGGACCGGGTTAAAGCTCAATATAACAGCAAAAGATTACAATTACTTAATTAGTTGAGGTGAAAGACAAGTGAAAGGAGCATGAATTTAAGATCATAGTCCGAAGCCTAAAGTCTACGTATATAGTACGGTGAATGATCTGCGAAACTACAAAAAAAGAACTGCGTCTGAAACTTCATATACATACCGGGATACCGCTCAGCGACAAGGCTCCCTAAACTTCGGCGACATACTGGACCCTGTACAGAGAGAATATCGATGCTAAGTATCGTATCGTAAGTACATATTATCAAAAGGACCAAAATATTTATATCAAAGATAGAGAGCGTAAAGCATGACCTTAGAAAGTGGAGAAGGAGGCGAGTCCATGAGCTGAGCGAGCGGCTTTGCCACGCTAGCCTGAGGACATATGTACCTGTCCCGGTAAGGTAAGGTGAGATAAGGTAACAGCAAAAGCCGGCGCTGAGCTCATTCTAGATTGCGCAGTGTGATAAGTCTGCATTGCATGATTATCTTCACTGGTAGAGGTCTCATCGCCTGTACAGATCATGCTGAGGTCTCCGGCGGACGTGAACTGGCCGCTGATTACCTCAGGGGCAAACCTCACGGTCGAACGCCTTCCCCGAGAATTTATACCTCCTTCTGCCGTCTGAATACCAGAACTTGCGATT